ACCTTCTATTGTTCCTCGTCTGTTGGACCCTTAGACTCACTCACTCACAAAGGCTAAACCAGACGCACATCAATATAATTTCAATCAGGCGACAATGATTTATGCAGCTCATGTTTATCGACTCAGATAGCACAGAGCACCACACAGCAGCCACTCAGATAGTGGAAATTCTCTGAAATAGTACAGAGGTTCATGAGTTTTACTTGAACAGAGAAGAAGAAGTTTGTTCTCTTGTTGACACCAATAACCNACATTTTCAGCATCCAAACTAAAACCAAGGTTCATGAGTTTTACGTGAACAGAGAAGACAAAGCAAGTGGCAGTTTCCTCACTATAATGAAAAACGCGTTTTGCAGTTTTCCTTGTTTGTTCTCTTGTTGACACCAATAACCAAATTTGCAGATAATCCCACCACCCATATTATTCATTTTTGTGATTTGGTTCTTTGTTGGTTCAGACTTATTTCCAAAACTTTGTTCTGACTTCAGTTTCATGCTGCACCAGGAATCAGAGTCTGGAATGAGCCATCTGTCAAGGCAGAACAGAGACAACAAAGTGTGACTTTCTCATTGTTTTCTTTTTTAGTAGTAGGAGAAAAGTTCAGTGTTAGTGGCTGAATTACACAACAGCAACAGAGCAGCAGAAGTCTGTGGGAAGCAAACATTAACAAACCGAACCACACAATCTCTTTGTGCCATCGATTTATATGGACATATAAGACTTTTCATTAGCTTCATGAGTATATAGTTGATCCAGAGTTTTTTTTTTTTACTTTCTTACTATTTCTTGCTTCTTTCCTTAAGTAAACAAACCTGTTCTTAAAGCTACATTTATGCTACTTCCTGAAATAGCAGTGGTTTCTTACAGCTCCTCAAGTGAGCCTCACACTGTCAGGAAAAGTAAGAACACACACAAAATAAGTTTGACACCTCTGGTGAAGGACTTTTCAACATCCATAGTTATTAAAGATAACACTATATTTAAGCTCAGTTTCTCTGTCTCAGTGTTGACATGCTGATGCATTTTTGTGTGAATGCTGTGACGCATTTAACCTGTTGGGTTCCTGTTTCTCATTTTTTCTATGCATTTTGATCACATTTGAACTGGTTCAGCATAAAAAACTGCAACAGCTACACCTACTCTTTAAACATGGTTTGCATTGTTCTATACCAACAGAGGAACATTTTATACACTGTATTTGATTAGTGAAGCCTTATTTGGACTATTCAGAGGTCATCGAATACCCATTTTAATGGATTTTTTTTGGCATTTTGAGTCTTAATTAGCATGAAAATTGCAAGACCTAAACTCTTCAGACTTGAACTGCATTGTCCTATACTATCATGAGAAATGTTCAAGCCCAGATTTTGATTTGTACAACCTTCATTATATTTATGGAGATGCTTAAATAAATTTTCTGATAGCAGTCCTTTCAAGTTTCTGCACATATTTTACATTTCTTCCACTTTTAATCACTTCAATCAAGCTTCGTATGCAGTTTGTTGTGTCTTCAACTTATCTACTGATCATTTTCTTTTTATTTATTTAGGTATTCTTTTTTTTTTGTTAGGTAATACCGCGATCAAAAAAAATCTTTTTACACAGGCCGGTGCCTCCAGGCAGGAATCACAGTGTATTAAATTATGTTACTTAGTTGATAATTTTCTCCAATTTTCTACTTTTCTTTTGCTCCCCTATCCTTTTTGATTTGGTCTCCCTTGCCTTTAGGGGCTTTGGCTTTTCAAGCTAGTTTACACAATTTTCTATATATTGATCAACTGACATATTTGCATTTATTTTACATTGTCAACTGTAGTTATACTTCATCTTTCAGCACAGACATTAAGCACACCTGCTTTCTGCAATGTCATATCATTTCAGCCATTTAAGATTCAATTTCTCCTTGTAAATGATGTGGTAAATACCCACCCCTATCCATGCACAATCTTTGCTGAGCAAACCTCTCTTGCTGCTACATAGTGTGATGGTGTAATTTCTGGGTTAATAAGATGTACTAGATAGGAAGGTAAATTTGTTCACGAGTTTAAAAAAACAAGAGAAATGTGACATTTTTCCATTTTTTACACTGGAATCATGTTGAGGTGCTGCTGAAGGTAAGAATAAAGCCTGACTGCCCTGCTTCTCATTAGCAGCTTGCCACGGCCCATTAAATGTTTGGTTTCTGCTGAAATTGAACTAACTCTGGACAGCAGCTCTCGGGGATACAAGCCTCCCTCTGATCAATACTCTGAGAACCAGAAGAGTCGCGGGGGCGATGCACAGCCATGTCATCTACCTGAGCACTGATGCATGGCTAGATGAAGCTCAGCAGAGGCATACTGGTGAAGAAATGCTTCAGACATTCAATATAAACCACATTTTGATGATTTTGGTTGATATAACAAGGGGGACTAAACCAGTCTCCATCTGAACCTAAAACTGTGTTTCCACACTCGTTCAATAAAATTTGGTTGAGATTATTCTTATCCAAAGGAACCCCTATTAGGTTGAACTTATTAGACTTTATGAAGAAAGGTGTCAAAACATCCATATAGGACAGAGCGCAAAAAAACCTTTAATTTGCCATTGTAGATTTATACTGTTATGTTATTTTTTCAGCTAAATTGTTTAGAACAGGGGTCTTCAAAGTTTTCCAGGCCAAGTACCCCCAAACTGGTGGTGAGATGGAGCAGGGATCCCCTAATTACATATATTGTATTAAATTGTGTTATATCAAACTGGTCCTATAGTCACTCTATTACAGATGGAGTAATGTAACGAAAGTAATTTCGCCCTGGGATTATTAAAGTGTTTCTGATTCTGATTCCTGGTTGATGGGACAGGTGAACCCCATGCAGTACCTCCGTGGACCCCCTAGGGGTCATGGACCCCCTGTTGAAGACCTCGGGTTTAGATTATAAAACCATTAAAATCAATGAAAGCAATTACTTGGTTAAAAACAAATTTTTCAAATAGTAATATCCTTTATTACAGGAAAAAAGGCAATATAAACTAACCTGGCTGAGAAATGAATTGCCCCTAAAGATGAGTTTGGTTCCAGTCCAGACTTTGACTACAGTAGGCCACCATTAAACCTACATCCTCCCATTTAAAAGTTGGAAAAGATAACTTTTGGTTTATTTTTTACTTAAAAACAAAAAAATGTATGATCCTTTGATATATCTAAACAGATCATGTACTTAAAGATTGAATTAGACAGAAGTGATCTTAATTGCTGCTCTACTTACATTGCAGTGTCCATATGAACTGTAAAACTCCCTGCATAATT